GTTTTTGTAGTTACATATTTTTGTTAAAGTGATAGTACGAGATCACCATTTGAAAGTACAGATATAAATTATTAAACCGTTTTGATGATTCAACGTCTTAATCGATAAAGGTAATTATAATATAGAATGGCTTTTTCACATTTTTCGGTTTTTGATCAAAAAAAAAAAGTTTTTATTCCCAGTTTGATATGTAGTATGATATTTTGCTCCCATGATCACGATTATATATTAATATTGTCAATAGAGAAGATCTCATAATTAAAGTTTTTAATAACGAGATAATCAAAGTGATCACTTTTTGGAAACAAATAAAAAATGAGATCATTGTTAACTTCTCTGTTCCAAATTGCGATTACTAATATGTTAATTGGCTTAATTTTTGATTGCAATTTGGAAACTACGAAAATTATTGATCTTATTGTGTTTTCTTTTATTAGTCGACAAGACGATCCAAACAAACCACTTACTCTTGTTCATTTAATTCGTCTATTTCGTTGTTCTCATTGTACTGGCAAAGAGATGAATGGATTGATTCAATTACTCACGGAATGTATCAATTTCAATGAGAATAATGCTGTTGATATGCGTAGATATCTCGTTCAACCGACCTTTTTCGAAGCAATTTGGCGAATCTATTTCGATCCGTTAATAATCGAAAGTGCTCAAAGTACAGATCCTAACGTTTGTATTAAAGCTATTAATCAATTAGCATATAGATCCAAACAAAAACTTATTGTAAAGTGGACTGATGGTCGCGAAGATGAATGCAATGATGGATGTGCTCAAGCACGTCTACGTGTTAAGGATCTTGTTCATAAAGCTCTCGATGCTTGTCAAGATTCAGAAGAACTTATTAGTTTATTAAAAACTATGAGTTTAACAAGTATAAAAGCTATTCATATATTTTCAGTATGGCTTGAACTTTTTCATTATTTATTGGAATTAAAATTAAAACTTTTCGGTATTGAAATGTGTGAAATTATATTCGATCGTTTACAACTTCTTGATATGATTGGTTATGAAAAACAATTACAACAATTTATTATTGATCTATTCAATATTTGGCCAACTATACAAGATGATAAATTAAATAAATTTGTTTTAAATCATTTTGTTCAATTTATACAAAGAATTATTGATTGTAAAACAGATGAATCAAATATTCTTATTGAACAATTAACAGAACATATTTGTGCAAATACACCAGTTTCTAATGTACGTGGTCATATGTGTTTTTATTTTCTACTTAAAGAATTACTTCCGAAATATTGTGAAGCATATTTAATAAAAGCAATTAAAAAAATTGATAAAGGTGTTATTTTATATTATATTGATTATGCCATTGAAAATAATCAAAATGATATATATGATCATTGTTCAATTTTATTATCAATTTTGGATCATATAAGTACATTTACTGAAATTGATTTACTACGTCCACTTATAACTTATACTATTAAATATCCATTAAATTTGATTTGTTTTGAACTTATTAAACATTCACTTTGTCCAATAACAACATTAGTTACATATGTTCAACAGGCAACTCATGAACAAGTAAGTGAATTAATTGAATGTAGTGAAATAGATATTGCTAAACAATTCATTCCAACTCTATTAACAATTATTGAAGCATTAGCAAAAAATTCACAAACAGAAAAATATATATTTGACTCTAGACTTTATTTGATTATTCAAAAATGGTTATTAATTATTAATGTTCCATCAATAATTATTCGTCTTATTGAATTACTTCTCGATATTGGCTATTCAAAATATAATAAATATAATACAGATATTGCAAATTTTTTTCTTAATCAATATTTAACTAAATTTCTATCGATTAATTTCGAAAATCCTAGTCGATTGTCTCGTATTGTCTTATTTCTTGCTTCATTTGCTGATATTGATCCATCGACAACGATTAGATGTGAGCCATTATTCAAAGCTTTTTTTCGTCAAATTGAAGAATCAACTAATAATGAATCGATGGATTCATGTAAATTTCATTTGCTTAGTCTTAGTAATGAAATTGTCAAAGAACGATCACGTTCAAAACTTGTTGAATTACTCTCACCATTTACATTGGATATTATACCTATATTAGGTCATACTGGTGAATTAAAACGAGCTGCTATTATTTTACTTGCTGAAATTTTAGAATTATCACCTAATGAACGTTCTGTACTTGATGAACTTATTGAAAATCAATCCAATGATGATCAATCAAATGATGTTCTCATTGGTGATCAACGACAGCAAGCATCATTTTTTTCAACTGAACTTACCAGTACATCGGAAATTGTTCGAATAGGACATGACGATTTTAATCATGGACATAAATTGTTAACAGATTTAAAAAGTGCTGAATCACATAAAATTGATCATATATTACGATCATATATACCACATCTTCATTTCGATCAATCATCTCCTATTATCGATCACAAACAACCAAAAGATCGTTTAATTTTAACAGCAACAGCACGCGAAAATGTAACTAAAGTTCTTGAAGTACTTGATGATCCCGTTCCGATTTTACTCGAAGGTAGTACTGGTGTAGGAAAAAGTGCGACTGTTATGGAAGCAGCTAAATTATCTGGTCGTGAACTTAAACGTTATAACATGTCGTCGCGTATATCTATTGATGATTTACTTGGTAAAGTAACAATTGTACCAGGTGAACAAGGTCAATCAGTACAATTTAAATTTGATAATGGCCCATTTACAATGGCATTTATAGAAGGATATTGGATGCTTTTTGATGAACTTAATCTAGCACAAGATACTGTACTTCAAGCTATTGAATCAGCTCTTGATAGACGTCAATTAACTATACGTAATGGAAGTTCAGCACAACAATCTGTTGTTGTTTATCATATGCATGAAAATTTTCGATTATTTGCAACACAAAATCCAAATACAGGCTTTTTTAAAAACAAACGAGAAAAATTATCACCATCATTTTTAAGTCGATTTCGACCGCTTATCTTCAAAGAATTACCTGATATTGAATGGCGTGAAATAGCTCATAGAAAATTGTTGCCCTATCTATTTGATGAAGCCGAAAGTTTAGCTGAATTAATGGTTTCAAATTTTAATGCTAAAATTAAGAAAATGTTAAATAATGAGGAACAAACATTAATTGAAATGGGACCCTATGCCGAAATTTCCATTCGTGAACTTCTTAAATGGATTGATTTAATTACTTGGCAAGCAGAAAATAATTTATGGCCTTCGGATGGAATTCAACGAACAGCTTTACTTAGTTTTAGTGCTTGGTGTGTATACGGTGCTCGATATCGTCATGTAGGTCGAACTCTTGTAGAAAAAATTTTAACAGATGATGGTAAAGGTGGTTGGGGTAGTCCAGCATTAAATGATATTAAATTTACTGTCGATCATAAACAAAATAAAATCTTTTTTGATAATGTTCAATGTTCAATACGTCTCAATTCATCTATTGACGATTCTGAAAATGAATGGAATCGTATTATAAATTCTGCTGAACTTAAAAATGTCAAATATGATAAAAACCTATGGAATTTAGCAATTCAAACTCATCAAGCTGTTCATAAATTAATGCTCGATAGAGAATTCATTTATACACATGCTGTCTATCGTATTGATCGTTCTTGGTTAGAAGAATGGATTATATCAGCTGCACAGTCTCATCGACTTGAAAAACATGATGAATTTGCTATACATGGTTGTCAATTATATGAGAATCATGTTCGTCATACTGAAGCACAAACAAAAATTCGTTCATGTTTTACAAATATATTCAAAAAAGTTGATTTTACTAAAATAACTTTCAAAGATTGTTTAGTACAACCAGAAATACCATATGTTCTTACTAATCGAGCATTGAAAACACTTAAACAAGTATGTTTTAATCGAACTATTAAACAACCAATTCTTGTTACTGGTCCTGAAGGTTGTGGAAAATCTGAACTTCTATTAACACTAGCATGGTTTTGTGGACAACAAGTACAACAATTAAATATTACACCAGAAACTGAACCATCAGCTTTAATTGGTCAACTTATTCCTAATGATAATAGTGATAAAAATGAACAAAATAAAGATAAAAACTTAATTTGGCAAAATGGCTCGGTAACAACTGCATATACAACTGGTCAATGGGTACTTTTAGATAATTTAAGTGTAGCTGAATCGTCTGTACTTGAACGACTCAATCCTGTACTCGAACAAAATCCAATGTTGTGTTTGACAGAAAAAGGAGAAACAAACAAACAAAAAATGCATTCAGATTATCAAATGGTTGCTACAATGACACCACCTGATGGTCGTCAACAATCACATGGTAATGTTAGTGGTGCATCGAGTGAACTTTCACCAGCACTTTACAATCGTTTCGGCATTGTTCATATGATGGACATATCATTTAGTGCAACTGATAATTCATCAGAAATACTTCAAATTGCTAAAGCTCTTCTATCCGATGAACCGGATACTGATCATGAATTAGCTGTAAAATTCTGTCATAAAATTCTTGAATTCTACAAAAGTAACAATAGAAGTTTTCCAAAATTTACTCTACGAAATATTATTCGACTACTTGATAGTGCTTATCTTTTACGTTTAAAATTTAAATCTGAACTCAATTTTATTTCAAGTCTTTGGACAGCTTATCATGTTACAATTGCAAATCAAATTAAAAATGATGATCTTAAAAATGAAGTTACTAAACATGTTAAAGAATTATTATTGACTAGTAAAAAATCTACTGAACTTAAACAACCTAATTTTATTGATCAAATTAATCCAAATAAAGAACATATTTTGACTAATAGTCGACTTAATTATGCTAATTCAGTTTTAGGTGCTGTAGCTTGCAAAATTCCACTTTTACTCGAAGGCCCAGCAGCAGTCGGCAAGACAGCACTTATTTCACATTTATGGAAACATATGAAATCACCAAATAATAATATGACATCAAATCTATCTTCAGTAAAACTTGCACGTGTTAATAATACAGATACAACGACTATACAAGATTATTTCGGTACATTTCTACCAGTTAACAAAGATTTTGTATTTCAAGAAGGTGCACTCTATCGAGCTATGAAAAATGGTTGGTGGTTTCTTGCTGATGAATTCAATTTGGCAGATCCATCTGTTATGAATACTCTTTTTCCATTATTAGAAGGTAAAAATTCTATTGCTATACCATCAAGTGGAAAAGTAATAAAAGCAAGACCTGGTTTTCATTTTTTTGCTACGCAAAATGATGCATCCTATGCAAATCGTCATCAATTACCTGTTTCATTACGTAATCGTTTTCT